TGGAATTAGGACCATTAATCCAGTTCGAGTTTTAAGCTCTTTGACTTTTCGTATCAAGTTCATTATGTTCGAAAGATAGAGAAACGAACTCAACAGCAGACCATGTTTCACACTTCTCACTCTAGGTCGTGCTATCCGCACAAAAGTGGGCGCGATCCATTGAGCCGAGGATTCGCGGAAACCTGTTTTTTTGTGGCTCCAGCATGGCGGGACTGGAAGGCGGAGCGCGACGCTGGGGGTGGCACCCAGTTGGCAAGGAGGATGATGACCACAGAGGCTGCTTCAACAGCAGCTACGGTGGCAGCGCAGCTGACTGAGATGAAGAGATGAGAAGAGCTGGGACAAGATCCTGAGCATGGCCCCTTGAGCAATACTTAGCGTCCTTAGACTGAGATTTTTTTGAAGGGATTTGATGACTTGAGTTGACGCCAGGTCTCATGGCAGATGAGGAGAAGTCCAGACTCAATCACCGTCCGCATGGTCCTCGACTGGCTTTGGCCTACCCGGCTTGTCAGCTCCTTGCAACCTTCGCCATAACCGCTCCTGGGGCATCCTGAATGTCCGTCGCTTGAAGAGGGTGAAGCTGAGCGCATGTTTTCCGAGAAGTCACACCAAAAATATGGTCAAGAGAGAGCCGGAGAGATGTTTGCGCTTAACTGCACGAACTTGAAGAGACAGCAGATTGACGTGAGGAGAATGGGGGGAAGGCAGAGGAGGAGATCGGACACCGCACCAAGCCATGATGCCACAATGGAGGAGGAACCCAAAGCAGAAGGGCAACGGATGGAAAGAGGCGCAACCTATTCACAATGCTTCGATGCCTTGGGGTTCAACACATAAGGCTGAGCGGGCGTGAGAAGACGGGTGCCACCCTAGCAGGCGAAATTTGCAGTGCGCATGAAATGTTTGTCAGGCAACTTGAGGGGTTGGTGCAGCTTCAGGTGTCAGAGTCCTCGATCTAGTCAACACTCAGAGCGAAGGCCCTTGAGCCAGGCATCAATGGAAACTGAAAGGCAAGAAAGGCAAAGAGGAAGGAACAGAAAGGTAAGGGCAAGCAGGGTTCACGGAAAGGATCAGAGGAGACGGGTGGATAATCAGGCAGTGTCAGGCTGTGGTGGAGGACAGCCAGACAGGAGACTGCAGGGCAACGACTTCATCAAGTTCGACTCCCACAACCAGCAATCAAGAGGATTTCACCCCATCTTGATTCAAGAGCTTTTGTTGCTTGACCTCAGGAATCTGAGCCCCAGCAGCAGTTCACGATCAAGGTCGACTTCCACCTGGAGGATGAGTGTGATGAGAGTATACAGTGAGGAAGTTCAAGTTTTGGCGGTGCACGCAGTGCGTACCGCAGCAAGGTAGGCCCGCAGACGTGGCAGAGTTGTGGTGCTCTCGGGTACAGACGCCGCCGTCCTTCCAAGCCATTTAGTCGGACTCGGGACACAAACTTCAATGAGGGAGACGAGGGGCCACGGGAGCCGCCAAGTCGACCTCACTCTCCCCCACTCAAAGCCTATTCCTTCTAGTTGTTCTCCCACGAAGATCACTGTCAGAACCTATGCGTTCTCCTCCAAGCCATCTATGCGACTGTCCTGGTCCATCCACCCAAACGTGGTTCCGCAGACTAGCTCACCTTTCGTATCAACAGAGGATACACCATGAACTAGTGTTGCAATGCTGAAGACGCAGGGGATCAGCGGTATGAAGAGGACCCGGCAGTTCTGAGACGGGGAGTTGGGAGCAGTCCCTTTGAAGTCAAAGAAGTCATGACGTTTTGTCAAAACCTTGGACGTGATGAAGTGTGGTGTGCCACTTGGGTAAGTGTTAAGTTCTCAAGACACTGCAGGTGTTTCGAGAATTGCTGGAGGAGGAACATGGAGGAGTTGAGACTTTGGCGACCAAGTTTGTCCATGATTGGCGTATAAAGACAAGAAAGTTCTAGAAAGGAAGAGGAAGCAGTGGTTCGAAGGGTGAGGTTGGTGGGACGACGCGTATACACTCACCTAGTTCGAGAGCTCATGCACTGAAGTTGCTTCCGCTGCGTGTCCTGATGGACTGGACCACGAGTTAGTGTATAAATCAAAGAAGCCCTACAAGTCGAGGGAAGGTTCAGCGGCTCAGCGCGTGAAGAATTCTTGTGGACGACAACGCAAGCAGGTTCATTCACTTGACAAAATACCTAGAGGGGAAGGGCTGCAGTTTTTTGTCGCGGAGCTGAAGCAGAGGTTTGAGATGGTTTCAGATTTTTGTTTTAGTTTTCAGAGGAGTGGAGCGGGAGATGGGTTTCGGTTCCTTAAGAAGACCTATCGGCTTGGACTAGGTGGTTGTGTACTGCTCATCATCACGCAGCGCCAACCAACGAATGCAGCCGGCTGTCTCCACTGCTCAGCTTCAAGCTGATCCCTGGAACTGAACACCACTCTGTTCACAGCATGATTGGCAGATAGCGTTGACCGCACCCAAAAAGCGACCCCTCTGTTGTCAACGTGCAAATGCCTTTTCACACATCCATGCTGAGGACTGTTGGGCAGGACAAAGAGGCTGCGAGTTTGGAGAAAACTCCGCCACGCTCGTTGTAAGCTGGTTTGGTGCCAAGAGATGGGGTCTCTCTCGCAAGGAAGTACTTAGCGTCTCTAATCCGCGCAAAAACCTCTCAGTGAATGCCCGCAAGCGCATTTGAGGGACGAGAAGAAAAGAAGTAGACGAGAGCTTCAGAGGCCAAAAGCTCTAGAGAAGTTGGCGTTTGCAAGCGGCCTTGTCAGTGGCTGCAGGAAGGACAGGGGTCAGGCAGGAGGAAAATTTGACCTTTGCCTGGATGTGTGAGGGCTTCACGCTGAACAGAGAACTCAAGAGGTTCAACGCAATGAGATAGCTTCATTTCGTTCAGACCCGGACACTCATAGGAAAAAGTATAAGACAGGCAAGAAGCAATGCAGATGGACTATTCTCAGAGGCTGCGGAGAGCAACGGTCAACCAGAGCGGCTGTGTGGAGGCCTGAGGCGGATTACAGCCTAAAGTCGGGTGGCCAAGAAGGATGAGCTTCTGAGAATGCTCACAGAAGTGGCAAGGTTCATTACAGACTGAGCCTTGAACCGAGCGCCAAAGCAGGATTGCGAAGAGAGAGAAACGAACGCAACTGCGCAGCGCACACCCACAGGCCATGTTTCACACATCCACCGCATGCCGCGCTATCGGCGCACAAGTGGCGCGATCCGCTTCGTTTTATTACCATGATTTTGCAATCTACTTGAGTACAGCAAAAGCTTTCATACCATTGAAAGCAACAAAGCGCTCACAACATTAAGCAGCCATGTGGTACTAAGATTAAAGACAAAACATCAAAGTAATTCCAGCTTTTATCTTTTGCTTGCGCAATTTTAAGCTCTGTTTTTTTGAAGATTCCGCCATTGATTCGAGAACAACATATCATGCGAATTAAACGCAATAAACGCATTCAATTCAATCCACTCAACAGCGATTTGATCCCAAGGTGGGGGGTATACAGCACACAAAGGCACAACTCCAGTGGTAAGCCCTTGTGTTTTATATGTTTCAATTGTGATAGCACAGTGTGCAAAGACAACCCCGAATTTTTGTTCTTATCTTGGCACGCGACATGATTTCCAAACCCGTTAAAGATATGTTCTTGACAAATAAAATCTTCAAATACTGAATCATTAAACACACACACATATATATACATATATATGTGTGTTTAGATATTGTTACAGCTCTCCAAGAGTGACTGGAAACAGGGATCCTACATAACCAGTTGAGTTTTTCATTTGTTTTTTGCGCAGACACCGACCGGGTTCAACCCCAGAAACACAGGGCAGTTACGACCATGATGAGTGCAGCTAAACTTCTCGATATAACTCTTTTGACCCCCCCCCAGAACCTTCAAGAAAAGATGTGTGCAGTCGCGACGTAGCTGAGGAGGTGTTGATGTTTTGGTCGCCCTATGTGCCTTTGCTGAGCCTGGGCATCCTTGCTGCTGCTGTGACGAACTTCCTGATGTTTGACTTGGGCATTCGTTTTTACAAGGTGGAACTCCCGTCAGATGAAGTGAATGAGGTTGCTGCTTTGTCAGCCTCGTACTTGTACTTTGCGTTGGGAACAGGATCTCTCTTCCAACTTTGGCATGCATTTAGCACTCAGATGTGTGGCCGATATTTGTTGCTGGCCGTTCACCTTGCGATCATGGGCCCTTGGGCAAATGTTTTCTTACCAGTTGGCTTTATCACGCGCCGTTTTTGGACTTCAGATGACATGCGTGAGAGAGAACTGATGGAAATGACCAGTATGGACAGCACCTTCTCCCTTCAGCCTGGCCAATCCCTGACAAGCGCCAACCAATGACTGCTCTCGAATGCCTCCGGCCTGTAGCTCATTTGCATTGAACTTGGATCATTGCACCACTTGCAGTAGCAAAAGACCATGCAGACTTGGGCCTTGGGTGTGTTGGGAAGCCAGTGACATATGGAAGTGTGCTCTTCTTGCGAAGAGGCCTTTGGGGACCCAAACTCGGCATTCACCCAAGACCCAAATAAGCCTTCGGAAAACAGTAGTGCAAAAAGACACATCAAACCCACGCCATAACCCCGCGCCACAGTACAAGCAAGCAATTCCCACCGGGTTTCCTCCCAAAGCGTCTCATGAGCGGTCTCACCTGCGATGCCTCAGGTTGGTTCTTAGCCATCGAAGGGAGATCATGATTCGCTGCTCGCCCCATTTGCGCACCATAAGACGTGAAAATCAGCAAGACATTTCGGGTCTTTTGTTGTTTGGGAACCCTCATGATGTAGAGTCCTTTTTGGTTCCGGAGGTTCTTTTCGGCACACCTGGTGGATCAGCCATATCAAACCCCTGGTTGGTGTTTTTGTTCCAACCTACAAACTCCCTACGGTCGACAGGTCGACAGGCCCAGGGGTCTTCTCTGCAGGTCTCTTGGGGCCGAGAAGCCCTCCAAAGGCCATCTGGTCTCGCCCTTCTCTGCCAGGTCGCAGAAGGGTCTGATGGCCGAGTTGGTCTGCCGCTGCGCGGTCTGCTGATGCTGCGCGGACTGATGTCAACCGGACCTCCTGGAGAGGCGATGCGTGAGGATCTCCACAGTTCATTCGGATGTTTCCGCAAAAACGGGCCAGAGTGCTGCCAATTCAATCTTTAACTCCTTCGTTGATTCTTGTCCATTTGTTGAGTGCTGTTGGTTTCCAATCTTTATCTCTGACCTGGTGACCTGTTGGATTGATTGGGTTCTTTGGAAGGTTGAGATGAGCAGATCGCTGAACTGGGAACTTGATTGTTTGACTTTGCAAAAGAGTGCTGGGCAGCCATTTTTTAGAACCCGCCTAACAGAGAACAGTCTAAGGGAGCGGCAAGGAGAGTGCTTTGCAGCCCGTTAGACTCGACCCATGTCAGTGAGTCGGATCCTCTCATGTCGGTCTTCGTTGCGCAAGGCACTCAACGAGGAATTTCGCTGGGCAGTTGCACAACGAGGCTTGGAGCTGGGTATGCGCGACAGAAGCTGTGGACTTGCACCCTTCTGGGCTTTGGGAACACTCATGTTCAGAGGTGACACGAGAACTGCTATTATTTCTCCGCACCATTTTTCGGTCTTCAGGCCGAACCCTTGCTCGTTATGCATGGAATCGGAACTCCTAAGAGCTTGTAGCCTTTTCGTGTCTGAGAACTTCGAGAAGAAAGCACCCCCGGGGCGCTGGGGTGAACTAACCCCCTGCTTCAACCTTCAGTTCGTCAGCTGGTGCTATCTTGGCGCTCAAAGTCAGCACTTTTGTGCCGAACCTTTTGTCCAACACGAGGGCCGTGGGCCCTGCAGATGATGCGTGCAAGGGCCGTGGGCCTTGCGACCGCGCTGTTTTCGACCGTGGTCTCGCAGGACGGCCGGGCGCGACGTCGCCCCGGCGCGTAAGAGGTGAAACCTGAGAGCCTGAGCTGAACACTTCTCCAGCCTTGAATGGTCTTGATTCATGTCGCTTTTGGTTGGCTGCTTGCCACAGATTTCAGCGCTGAACAGGCTATGAACATCATGAACTGTTTGGAAAGCTTTTCATGTTGAGCAGAAACCTTGCTTGTTTTTCAGGACGCTCAACTCCAAGAGATCTTCCTCCAGCTGGGAATTTCTCCCAGCACAGCGGCATCGATGGCGGCCAATCCGTGCGGCCAATCCAGCAGCATTCGATGCACTGCGAAGGGCGAAATCACAGAGCTCAACCTCGTTGACAAGCAGATGAATGGAACCATTCCACCTGAACTCGGCCAGCTGAAGTCTTTGGAGAAGCTTCACCTTCACAAGAACCAGCTCAGTGGTGAGATTCCGGGTGAGTTCGGCCAGCTTCAGAACCTGCAAGTGCTGTGCCTGCACAAGAACCGACTGAGTGGTCGAATTCCGCCAGAGCTGGGGCAGATGGAACGATTGGAAAGGCTTGACCTGAGCCAAAACGAACTGAGTGGTGAAATTCCACGTGAGCTGGGGCAGCTGAAAAATTTGCAAGAGCTTTACCTTCTTCGGAATCAGCTAAGCGGTGAGATTCCTGGAGAGCTTGGCCAGCTCCAAAGCTTGCAAGCGCTATCCCTTTTCTTTAACCAGCTGAGCGGTGAGATTCCCCGTGAGCTTGGCCAGCTTGAGAACTTGCGATGGTTTTCACTTCAATTCAACCAGCTGAGTGGTGAGATTCCCCGTGAGCTTGGCCAGCTCAAGAACCTGCAGGCCCTTTACCTTCAGAGCAACCAGCTGAGCGGCCAGATTCCGCGTGAGATTGGACAGCTCGAGAAGCTGCAAGAGCTGGACCTTGACACAAACCAGCTCGCGGGCGAGATTCCCCATGAGATTGGCCAGCTCAAGAACCTGCAGGATCTTAAGCTTCTCAGGAACCAGCTGAGCGGCCAGATTCCGCGTGAGATTGGACAGTTCGAGGAGTTGCAAGAGTTGCACCTTGACACAAACCAGCTAGAGGGTGAGATTCCACGAGAGCTTGGCCAGCTCAAGAACCTGCAAGGGCTTTACCTTCACCTGAACCAGCTGACTGGTCCGATCCCCTCCGAGGTCAGCCAGCTTGAACAGTTGCAACGGCTCGATTTGAGCCAAAACCAGCTGAGTGGTGAGATTCCCCATGAAATCGGTAAGCTTAAGATGTTGCAATGGCTCTTCCTTCAACAGAACCAGCTGAGCGGTGAGATCCCCCGCGAGCTTGGAGAGCTCGAGCACTTGGAAGAGCTTTATCTATCCAACAACCAGCTGATAGGTGCCATTCCGGATGAGCTTGGGCAACTCCAATATTTGGAGCAACTTCTTTTTCATTCCAACCAGCTGACTGCGATGCCATATGTCTTCAACATGTCTTCCCTCAAGGTGCTTGACATCAGTCGCAACCATTTGAGTGGTGAGCTTGGGCGAGAGCTGTTTCCTCAGCTACTCGAAGTCTTAGATTTGAGCCACAACAAGTTTGCTGGAGACATTTGGAACATTACAGACAATTTTTGTGCATTGATTCCAAAGGGCGGATCCTTAAAGGAACTTCGCTTGAATCACAACAAGTTCACTGGTCAAATACCACCCTGTCTGATGCAATTTGAACGATTGAATTTTCTGGCTCTAAACAACAATCGCTTCCACGGAGTTTTGCCCGAGATTGAAGCATCGCAGCTTGTCATTCTCACCCTGCACAAGAACGCCTTGACAGGAGTGTTACCCAAAACCTTGTACACGCTTGCGCACCTTGGAGTTTTCACGCTCCACGAAAACTCCATGGGAGGTGGCCTTGAAGGACTCAATTTGAGTGTCCCATGCTTGGACAACTCCAAGTTCAGAATGTGGGTCCATTGGAACTGCCAAAGGGGCAGCTTGATCAGACCATTGCTTTCGGGTGACGAACTTCAGCAGTTGGATGCAAACTGCCCACGATCGAATGGAGCCTGCCCACGCAATGGCTTGGCCAACATCACCTTGCATCACAACCGCTTCTCATGTGCAGTTCCAGAAAGCCTTGGCAACAGCGAGGTTTCCAGCTTGGCGATTATGGGCAACATGCTTGGCAATGGAAGCTTGTTGAATGCGCCTTGGATCTCGCGAGAAGAGCAGCAGCCGTTCTTGTACTATTCACCTAAAGCTTGGAAGTCCACCATGCCCATTTTGACTGGTTGTCTAATGTTGACGACTTCAGCTGCTTTGTGCCACCAAAAGCTCCGGAGAAAGCTGGAAGAAGCGTCTCTGAACTTGAGCAACATCAGCGAAGCTCGCGTGGTGGCATCAAACCTTGCACTGTGGCGTGGCGGCTTTTGTGCGTGTGTCGGGAGCCTTTAGGTTGATGAAAGCATTGATGACGGCATGTACCAAGAGTGTTTGATCAAAATCTGTAGTTGACAACGGTGTTGACCATGGCTTGAAGTATGTGTGTCCGTTTTTGCTGCAGTGTTCCGTTTGAGGAATATACCCTATTGATCATAGATACAACCAATAGAAAAAATTGCGAAAACAATCTCGTAGGACACCCAAGCTTTCACTGGTATACGTACGTGCATGCTGCCTAGGCTGAGACACAGACAGGTGGTAGCATCTATGCATTTTTTGCACTTTGTCATGACAGGTATTTTTATGCACGGGCACACGTCCCATACATGGTTATATATGAATAACATGTTTCTATTTCTTGTTTCTACGCTGTTGATCGGTCAATCTTCCGAGTTACGAAAGAGTTTCGGTTGGCAAAAACACGATGATCCTCGGTGCAGTTCCAAACCACACGAGCACTTCTTCGCCGTCGGGGTAGACCCCGCCACGGGGGGTGGTGCGTCGGTGAGAGTCGAATGGCGTTGGGGAATGCATTCACACACTCCACACACTCGCACTCCACTCTCCACTCCACACTCGCACAAAAACGCTCCACGCCACGACTCCACGCCGCGATTCACCAAGCAAATGAATCCTCCAACACGCGTCCCTATCACATGTGTTTTAATCACACCGTTCACGATTCTGCAAGGAAACTGAACGAAAAAGCTAATGACTGCTTGTTATTGCAGTTTTCACACACACACACACTCAAGAAATTGCATACTGACTGAAAGCCACTCGCCACATGGCGACCTAGGCAACCGTATTCCTGAGAAGGTCAAGTAAGGGGTTCTGATCATCGCTAGTCATTAGGAGGCCAAAGGTCAAAACCCCGAGGCACCGAAGCGACGACAGGGCGAGATGACGGCGATCGCTCACATCTGCAGAATGCAAAACCGGTGCAATGGCTGGAGTCCTTGTTCTAGTTAAAAGCAGGGGTCAATAGGATGTTTCCGAGTCAGGACATGCAGGTACAAGTGGTTGATCAGACCACTCATCCACTGAAATGCCATAGCTTCGTTGGACTGGATGGGCAAAGCGGCTGCAGTCCCCTGCTGGGAAAATCAACAGATCCCTGTGATTCCAAGGGTTCCACACACACACACACACACACTCTCCTATAGTATACAACCTTTTTTAAGTTTCCGCCCACCAGCTTCGCCGGAGGATTGCCTCGTAGATAGAACAAGCAGAAAAGATGGCAGCAGCGAACTCATGGAAAACACATATTTTGTTGGATCAATCGCTGCTCTGAATGTCAATATTTGGTCATTGGGCCACACTGGCCTGCATATGGCCAAGAGACGGAAAGTGTTGCATTTGTCATAGTGTACCCCACTGGAACTGGAACTCGAACTGGAACTGGAACCCCCCCCCGGTTAAAAAAAAGACACTAAAGGGACAATGTCCATCACGTGCAGACTCGGACCCAGAGTTGGAACTGGAATTGGAACTGGAACTGGAACTCGAACTGGAACTGGGACCCCGCCCCCGGCAAAAAAATTAATCGACATTCAAGTGACATTGGCCATCACGTCCAGACCAGACTCGGACCCAGAGTAGGAACTTCGAACTGGAAGTGGAAGTGGAACTGGAACACTCGCCCCCCCCCC